AGCACTAGTAAGGACTGGTGAGCGCTAGTGAGCGCTAGTGAGCACTAGTGAGCGCTAGTGAGTGCTAGTGAGTGCTGGTGATGCCACGCTGGAGTAAACAGAGGCCAAAAAACCAACCATCAGCAAAAACCCTTGGTATCAGACTCCATTTGCCATACCCTCTTAGGGGGGTCCCCCTAAATCATAATTCACAAAAAGGCGCAAACCGGCCCGACCCAAAAGGTGTTTATACAGCTACGAGATTGCTGTTCAGTCAGCTCCGAATCACCGAAACCTCTTGAGTTTGACTTCAGACCCGGTGCATCGGACACGGAGTACGGCCTGCTCGAGGGGGATCGGTGTCCAGGATTCTAGATCAGGAGTTATTGTTTAAACATGTGTGCGCCATCACGCCATCCGACTGTCTCGGGTCTATCTGGGAGGTCTCTTGTTCCTGGAAGCTCTCGCTGGCCTAGGGGTTAGCAGGCAGACTTTGGTGCCTGGGCCATATCCCCACACAATGACGTGCAGCTATATAAATCCTCAAACCGGCAAACTCCAAGAAACAACACTTGTCGAAATGTTTTTGGCCATATGCAACAACGAAGCTACTCAATGAAACACATAGCAAGAACGACAACATGATGAAGAACATGCTTGGCGTACTTGATCTTGTGACCTCTCTGGTCAAATAAGGCTACCGGCAACAAGAGCAGCGAAGACAGTGAAGGTTATGGCTGCGCAAATCACCTTGGTGATATTCTTTACAAACACGAAGATGGTTGTCTTCAACGACCTTACATTCACAAAGCACGGTTACGGCACTGAGGACCATCAAGGGAAACAAAGGCGCAACTCCGTTCAGTTCCAACTGTAGCCATCCATCTCAGACAAGGAAGATGACGGTACTATGCATACTGAAGGCAATGCGTGAGATTGCGCTTGTATCTTAGTGGCACTTTGGCATGACAACATCGTGACAATGGCGCCAGACTGTGGCATGCCTTGAGACCGCCACCTTTAAGCTTGTTGTGCCTGTCGCGTCTCTATAGCATTTAAAGTTTAAAGCATACAGTGGCCACTGTGAACAACAGGTGCCGTCATCGTCTGGTAAAATTTGAGAACTCCCAACTCACTGACATGAGTGGGACGCCACACTATCATCCGCCCCAGGCCCCAGGCATGTTGTCGTGTTTGGCAACCCCCCTCCACCGCGAGGCACACCACTAGCAGCACCACCAGTACTATAAGCCATGTGAACCAAACTGCCAGGGGCAACCCACGTCCAGACTTTGTCCAGGCAAGAAGGAGGGGCTCGTTCGCGCTAGCAGGCCGATAAGCCCCTGCATTGAAAATGAAGCTTCAATAGAACTGTTTCTGGGTATTCTTCCTCATGAAAGCTGCGCCTGACAAGCCAGTCTTCTGTTGAAACGCTAGTTAGCTTGCCACTTGATGTCGTTGGACCGGGCTGGCAACACGAGGTCTCCATCTAGGGACCGTGGCCTTTGTATAGAAACCCTCCAATTGAAATAAAGGGCATATGTATCATTCGCCGCGAGGAACAAGCATGTTTGCACAAGTTCTACGTCAAAAGTGTATCGAACTTTGCCGAAACACGACCTCCAGTAGCAAGTGTTCCGTATTCACGCGATGCTACTCTTCTGAAAAGTGTCGTGCTGTGGTTGCGAATCCTACCAAGCATGCTAATTTCGCCACCATACTGCAGGTGCAACATGTCACGCAGACCGTGGCTGGGCCCTGCACCGGAGGCACAGCGAGCGCTGGGAAGGAGTCGGGAATGACCTTTGCGACGCATCAAAAACTAACAGTGGCCGGAAAGATCGCTAAAGCAACTGCCCTCCGGTTGCAGAGTTGGTTCGGTTCAAATATTGCCACCGAACCACTTTCCGTCCGCACATTCATGGTCCTATGTTTCCAGCCCGCGGAATGCACGACTAATGCGAACCCCTTGCGCTGACAAGTACCTTGGAGACGCATGCACCCAACTCTTCAGCAGCACACTTCTGCATCAGCCGAAGAAAGAGACTACAGCATTGGACCCTAAGGAGGAAGCCCTGCTGCGGCTTTGTTCGACTGGAGCAAGGCTCCGAAGATTCCCACTTGGGAGTTTCCGAAAATAAGGGGTACCTTATTTTGGGGGTCCTTATATTAAGGATCCTACTATTTAGGGTACTATCTTAGGGTCCCCTATTTTCGGAAACCCCCACTTGTGGGCAGTGGCCAAACCGATGAATGGCACTCGAGCTTTGCAAATTCTCGGGCTTGGCGTCAGTGGGGTGTGGAAGCTTGGGGGAAGGGGGCTGCTTGCTTGCCCACTCCTGTCGGCATTGCTCTTATGAACACAGTATTGCCCAGTGTTGCTGCTTGCTCTATATCAGACTCTATCCCTAACGAGTACCCCCATGCTCCGTGCAACAAAAAGGCTGAAGGCACCAATTCAGGGCTCCCTGTACGGCTCAAAGTCACGAAAATCTGCGACGGCATGCCAAAGGCAAAGACAGAAACGGGATTGTGTACCATTGCGGACTCGAAGAAGGGCACCGCGACAGGCGGCATGACCCGCTTCTAAAGTCTCCGGATGGGGCGCAGTCCGAAAAGTGGTGGTCTTGGCTCATGGGACAGTTTGAACGCAGCAGAAGCAGTGAGAGAAGTGCGAGTCTCAAGACCATGATGGCAGTCAACCCTTTTCTTATGAAGTCTTTTTCGGACGTCTAAGAACCTCTCGGAAAATCCCTTTCGATTTCCTGCAGACAGTAGTGGTAAAAGGCATGATTCTGGATCAAAACGCAACCACGGGTGGGGGTGGGTGGAGAGGACGAGGGGAGAGGGACCGAGGTGGAGAATGTCAACGGAATCCCCAAACTGCGGAACCACTGATTACAACATGCAGGTAGCTCGCTAGCTAAGTGCCAGGCACAACAACGAAGGAGCAGAACCCTTGCCATCCGTGAGGCTCGCAAACTGGGCGACCAGAAGCAAGACTGCAGAGGCAGCTGAACGTGTTGCCAAGCTTTCCGAGGTCTTTGCGAAGAAGGAAGGGAGTGGACTTGTCATCAACTCCCTTCAACGTCCAGCGGCAAACTGCCTGTGGAGGGCGAGAGAGAATCTGACTCACAGCAATGCGGCGATCAAGCGCCTCTCTGCCCTGGAGAGCAATGCTGGAGGTGGCAAGGAGGATGCTCTCTACGTAGAGGCTGTAAACGAACCTGAGGCCACAGCCAAGTCCAGGGCACCGCCCATCAAATCATGTACACCATATCAACAGCTTCACTTCCGGGCTTAAACTGCTGGCATCTAGGGACAAGCACAAGCATCACGGAGTAGCAACATACAAACTTTTGGATGAGGTCGGCACGTCGTCCCAGTGGTGTCCAGGCATATGGGCATACCAAAGCGTATGTTTGCGCTGGCTTTTTTGCAGGCAGAGACTCAACGTGCTGTGCGTGCTGGGATATCCGTGCTCGGCTTGCTGGCACTGTCCGAAATCTACAGTTCTCGCACTAGAGCGTGGTGTCCACATTGGCTGCATCATGAGCCACGTGCAGTCAATAGATGGGGTGTAGAAGCAGCCAAGAAGTACGATGACCACTGCCTCTCTGCAGTCTGCTTGGCCAGCTCATCACTGAGCTTCATCATCCTCAGAATACAATCTCGCGGTTTAGGAAAAGGCCGAATCCGGGGACCGGATTTCGTCAGAGGACTTCCCTGCACTGGGCTGCATGGCTTCTTCAACTCCTTGGCAGGCATCTTCTTCAACGAGGCCAGGATCTCCTGAACCCACGGAACGTTCAGAACAACACAATGTCCACGGCTACTTTGCATTGTCAACTCAATGCCCTGCCCGCGGCAAGCCTAACACTTGAGAAACTGCAGCTTTTGTGAACGAGAATGCTTTGTAGGTCCAGGCCCGTGATGCAAAGAAAACGCTAGACCCGGAAAACCCTGCAACCAGCCAGCATCCTCGGTGCGCTTGGAGAGCAGTGCACTGGGGGTGGACTTCGTGGTGGTCGCCGACGGGCTCATATCCAGGGTCTTTGCCTGACACTGACGAAAGCACAGACTTGATTGCTTTAACTTGCAAGACGCTACGGTTCATGGGCTCGTGTTGAACCACCTGGAAGGACTGTGAATCTGTGCGCCGACTTGCGGAAACACGCAACTCCTGAGCCCCATGAGTCGTACCATCCCGTACCTCCCCAACCCTGGAATCATGCAAAAGCTTGCTGAGCACTCGGCTGGTGAGAGCAAAGCCAACATGGCCAGTGGCAGGATTGTGCTAAGCAAACCTCTCGATGCACTGGTATCAATTCGTGAGATCTTGCACTCATGAAGCTCGAAGGCTGTTCCTGGAGCCAGGAGATCTGCACAGCGTTGTATCGCGTGACTTCAGCTGCCTCACCCGGTCACCTTTCTTTGAAGAGCATATCACGGCTCCCCGTGCCAACAAATGTACCCTAAGGCTAAGGAACCATTCGAGCCCGTCCTGGCAAGAGGTCAGCAAAACTAGGACATCAAAAGGCAGTTTGTCTCTGAGACAGCCTCACGTCTCGCCGAGAGCATGAAACAAGATGTCGTGCTCGACATACATGCACTCCTTAATTCGTAACACGGCTCGCTACTCACGACGAGCCTCACAGACGTCAGCTGTCGAGCTGTTCAATCCACAGTGGGCTTGGTCTTCACATGTATGTGGATTCAATTCACCACGTGCCACTCAGTCACTGCGTCCTGTGAATGAAGGATTCCTCGTCGACCCCCATAACAAGTGCGCAAATCTTCTTCGAATCTCACACTGCGACTGGGACAGTTCGCAGGAACTGACCGCTTCCCTTCCTTTGCCTTCATCACACAAACTTCCCAAGGCTCAGCATGGCTCAGCCCTTTAAATGCATAGTTCTCGTTGAGATCATCCGAGCCATATGCCGTTAAAAGCTGTAAACGTCCCTTCTGGTCCGGCCTGAACACGAGAAACACGAATTCTTCTGATGTCCCGACTCACCTGGATAAGGAAAATCCGTGGCCACCGATGCCTCAGCGCGACCAGCAGACCATCCCAAAGCACTAGCGAGACATAGCGACCCATAGCGAGCCACGACTGCTGGACCATGCCACGATCACGTCTAGGATGCCAGGTTCCGAGGTCCGTTAGTTGCAGCACCTCAGAATTCCCCCGCGGGGAGCCTTCCTTGGCCAGCACCAGGCAGGTCTCGCCGGAACCAGACCCACGCCGCGAGCGCCATTGATTCAAGCTAGGGCCTGCACATGAACGGAGGAGCCACGGGAGAAACTTGACACCCTCCTGGACTTATCAATTCGATATCCTGGCGAAGCTCGGTAGGCCTCGGACATGATGTTAGCCGGACTTGAATCTTGAGCCCGAGTCCATGGGCGGCGGTGAGAGCATGAAAGGCAAGAAAATTGCACCCAGTGCATCATTGGCTGGACACACAATGCTCCCAAATCCCTGAACTACCATCAAATCGGCACCTTTCTCTGCACACGCTTGGTCTCAAGCCCGGCTCACGTCAAAGGCGCGCAGTCCCTGCAAGGTTCGCATTTGCCGACTCATCGGATGACATAGCATGTGAGTGGTTTTGCCCAACGGAGAGCCACAGCCTTACCTCAAGCCCTTGCATGCCCGGTGTGCTAACCCACGCCTGACACCACATCAACGAGGGCCACGCAGAAAGCGCCAACCTCTCGAGGTGTTCCCAAAAGATCTATTGAGAACTGTAGCATCTACCGACCCCATGTCGCCCAAGGTGCATTACTTGTACCCATTGCGCGGCCATGACTTTCAGAGGCGGTGGCCGCTGCATTCATGGAGGCCACGCGCGGACCCTGGCGGATGGAGAGCACCTGTGCTTTCTCTTGGAGGCCAGGTCCCAGGGGGGGCGCACGGCAGAGGATGACACGGAGGGTTTATAGGCAGGTTCATAGCTCTGAGGAGGGCACCCCCGCCGTCAGGAAGCCGCAGAAGGCCGCATCCAGCGAACTTCGAGCTCCTCACTCTTCGCAAGGCCGAGGCGCGAGGCGGGCTGTCAGCCATACACTGGCGCGCACTGCCCCAAGCGGCCGTCAGCGTTCGAGTCCTTGCGGATCCAGGTGCCGCTGCGAGACCTTTCCAGCGTAGGGACACCACCCTCCGACCCGGCTCTTTGTGCGCTGTGCCGGGTGTTCACCAAGGCCAAGGCCGCGCACTCGAAAGCGTGAAAGAGGCCTGACCTGAATCCAGCATGCCAGTTGTCACGTCGGGTGCTGGCTCCCAATTTTCGCGCTGGCGAGGCTTGCAGCGGATGCCCTGGCCGCACGACGAAAACGGCTGCTTCTCTTCCACTCGCTCAGCCTTTCCATCATTCTTTCTGCATGCTTTTGCTTGAACATCTACCTGTCTGTCCACCACTCACCTTGCTAGCTAGCTGTCCAGATTATCCTATCCAGTCTGGTCTAATCGCACATGTATCACTTTGGAGCACAACCTTGTGTCTCGTTGTGTCCGTAATGCTATTCTTGTATCTAGCTTCCTTCGTTCGTCGCGGGTAGCCAAGATGAGTTGCAGTTACCTGGTCATCAGGTCAAAAACAGGTGGATGTTTCTGTGTTTGTGTGTGCGTGCACGTGCGTGTGTTCGAGTGCGTGTGCATTCTTGTTGATCTTTTGTGGTTGCTGCTGCGCTTATGGTCAATGCAAAATCCCTTGTTATCTAGTCAGTTGCAACATGCCATCTCCGCTTGAGATCTTGGCCACAACGCAAAGGTGCTGCCCAGTTGGGGCGCCCTGGCCTGGGCCTTGGCAACATGAAGTCTTGGGCTGTGCGCCGCCTTTGGATCGGTTTTTTTCGCCCTCCGTTCGCTGGGAACCCCGCGGCCGCCAAGGCGCCGGAGAAGCGGTGGCCCTCTCGGAGAAGACTCTGTATCGGTAGGGCTGGGCTTTGTCCACATCCGGGCCTTGGGATGATCTCTGAGGCTGCGTGCGAAGGTCATGCCTCGGCACAGAGGATCCTCTAAAGCAGAAATGATCAGGCGTCGAAGCCCTCAACTCTTGTGAAGTCTGAGAACGTCTGCTCAGTTTTTGTCAAATGATGGCGAGTATCCGGGGCTGTTGGCACTGTGGAGAGTAAACTACAGGCCTTAGGCTGTCAGCAACGACAAGACAAGCAGCAGGGCTTCTCATGCTGAGCCCGCAGCCGAAGCCACCCAGCGTTCCGCAACCGAAGGCGAAGCCGACCATGTCGATGATGCGCTGCAGGACAGTGCTTCAAGTTGTCAGCCGTCTCTCCCTGCACGACACTTCAGCTCCTCCGGGCATGGCAGGCGCCGGGGCTCGGAGGTCATGTCCCTGGCACGGCGATGCGCGGTGCTGGGCTTCGGGGCTTGGAATGGAAGTGTGCAAGCGACCTTCGCCGAGTGGACGCGTGCTGCCCAGCGTCTGCAGTCGCAGACATAGGCTTGCGACTGGACAAAGAGTTTAGAAGGGAAACTGCAAACACGTGGAATGCAGGATTATTCTAGGCTGGTTTGTGGTACTGTGGGACTATCAAGCTGGCCAAGGTCCACGAACTGCGGGCTGGGTCCTAAGTCTTGCATGTCTTGAAGTTGCCAAGCTCCGAGACTTGTAGTCACCCGACGCAGACGGTGTTGGGGTGAGCAAGGACATCTGCAGGCCTACAGTACCTTCAGTTTGGCTCTCGAGACCAAATGGCTCTGCAGGCTCGGTGCCGTGTCTGAGCAATAGTCACTAGTCACTAGTCGGAGAACAGAGAGGGCCGCATCACCACAGATGCTGTCAGCTGCAACGCTGCTTAAAGGCTTTTCCCCCGGCCGTCTCTGGATTTCTCTGCCAGCTGGCATCACGTCGGGAATTGATGCACGTCAAGGTGGTCCAGCCTCAAGGAGCAAGCGGGTCAAGGGCACAGGGCTGGCCTCCACAGCACACACAAAGAAAAGGGCAAACTCCAAGGAGCGATCTCACTCCTCTGTCGTTTCATCTGCGCAGGCTGCAAGCACCTCCAGTCCAGAGTACTGTGCATGACCTTGTTCGTATCCTCCCTTGGCCTTACTTTGAGACATGCGGGCCTCCTCACTTCGAGCGCTGGCGCATCTTTCGGCGCTTCTTCTGCAAGCGGCGCGTGCGCTTCTTCTTCCACTTCCAGCGGAACTTCGAGCGTGCCTGGCGCCAGCGGGCTGTCTTCCGAACAGGATTCATACCCGGCAGGAGAGGGACTGCAAGATGATGTCACGGGACGTGCAATTGCACTTGCCGGCCTTCTTGTAGGGGTTGGACTTGTGCGCCATGGCGCCCCAAGCCCCGCCCGAGCCTCGAACTTGGCTCCCGAGCCGACCAAACGGCTCTTTCGATTGGGTCCAACAATGTTTTTGCTGCTCCAGCACCGGCACGGCTGAACTGCTGAATAAGTTAAATCACGAACACCGCGGCTCCAGGACAAGACGAAAGAGGCACGGCTTGAACCCGAGAGCCCGGAAGTCCTGTCCCTTCTTCTGCTTGAGGGCTTCGATCATCTCCTCGCCTGCAGAGGGGAAAAAGAACATGGCGGGACAGCGGCACCTGCCGCACTCGCCGCTCTGCCTTTGAGGTATTGCCCATCAATGGCGACCAGGCGGTCTCCTCGCCGCAGCCTCTTCTCCTGCTTGACGCGCGACTTGCAGCCCGTGAAAAGGCTCGAGTGCCATGCTTCTCTCCCGGCCTCCGGCTGCGATTCGTTCCAGCCATATGCCACTCCTGTGCAGCAGCTTCTTATCTCGTAAGAAGATCTGTGCCAAGATGCTAGAGTGGCTCATGTTACAGCTAGTTCTGCTAGGTGCGGTCCTGATTCGGCGATCATGTCAACCACGGCCCTGTTCAGTAATGTTCAGTAAGTCTGCTACAGCTGCTTCATGCTCCGAGCGGTGCACATGTCGACTGCATGATCTCTACTTGTCAGCGAAGGCACCCAGCAGAGAAGGATGAGAAGTTCATCTGCAGGCCGAGGGAAGCGTTGGGCTTTTTGCCCATGGAGATTTTCATCTCCTGTCTCAACGACGTCAAGCTGTTACATCGCCGGGATACTAGAGTCCTGCGGCCGCAGAATCTTCAGAGTCAAAGGCGTCTTGTCCAAAGACTGGAGCTGTTGGATAATCGCCTTCACCTGGGCTCAGGAAGCCTCCGCCAAAACATTCTGCCATCACTCTGACAAGCTGCGCCTCATGGTGCTTGAAAAACCCTCAAAGGTTGTTTTTTCGAGGATTCCAAGAGCCAAAGAGCCTCTCCCTCCACTGCATTGACAGCCAGGATCAGATCCTCGGCTGCGAGGCACATGACATGGGCTCTTCTTGCAGCAAGAACCTCCTACATTCTCGACCGTTTAGCCCTAAGAACCATCTAAAACCGATAGCTCGACCTCATCACGCTTTGAACTTTAATACTCTGGGCGCGCAAAAGCGTCGTTCGGGCAGACAGCAGATGCTGGATTCTTCATGTTGAAGTCCTGCACGGCCCCCTCCGGAATGCTCGCAATGACAGGACCTGGAAGCGGTCAAACCCTCAGCTTCATTTTCAACAACGGCGTCACCAAGTGCACCCTCACCAAAATTTCGTCATCATGACCATTATCATACCACTGATCCGGTCATCGTTGGGTTCAGGGCTTAAGGGTTAGGGTTATGTACAGGTTTTCCGGTTTTGCAGCTTGAGGTGTTTAGGTTTTGGCTTGTCAAGAAGCTTTTGGGGTTTATGGTTTAAGTTTTGAGTGCCTCAGCTGTGAGATCTAGAGACATCCCATTGCAAGGACTGTGGAGCAGTGGGCGTGCGTTGGAAGCAGAAGAGCCTCTCAAAAAAGATAAGGCAAGACCGAACGCCTTGAACCCCCTCTACAACTAACTTCAGCTTCATTCTCGCCCCTCAAGCCCTGAACATCCTGAAACCAAATCCCAACATAGTCCACAGTGAGAGTCCGGAAATGCCGAGTCTTGCTCGAGGAGTCCGTCCCGGAGTTCCCAGCTCGGGGTTGGGGTAGAAGGGTTCATCACCACAAAAAAAACCATCAAATTCAGGAACGATCTCCCAACTTGGGTTTAGCCCTCATTTCCGCTGGAATACGGACGATTCTGTTGTCCTGCGATTCCAGGAAGGCACTCTTTGAGTCATTGCTTGGTTCGCAATTTTCATTCCGTGTGCTTTGAGCCCATTTGGTTGATGCCTTGGCCGCCGCACTCCACAGCCTGCTTACCTTTTGCTAAGCCTTTTTAGGCTTCGTGACAAGAGCCAGATGCCTGCTTGATGCGAGAAGGGACCGCTTCGCTCAAAAGCTTGTCTTCGAAGTGTCCGGCCCGGGCGATTCTAGGCCTTCCAGTTCAAGCGAGGCTGAAACAACGCTCTTGAGCGATCGTCGAGCTGCCAGATGGAGTTTTTGTCCGTCCGTGATTAGCTACATCAGGCCGCGAAGGTCCCCGACCAGCCATTGCTCCACGAAGTCCCAAATCACATGTAGCCTCCACAACCACAAGCGGTGCCTGATGTACCAGCTGACAGAGCGTGGATCACGTTTGGCGTCACGATCTTCGGGTCAGTGTCTTGGACGCAGGGCACGGGATTTGCCAAGCTCCTTTCTGGGGTGCCCGCTCGCGAGAGTTCTCGACGATGCTCAATCTGTGTGGTACACTAACATCGGAAGTTTTCGGGCTAGGCGACCTCCTTCGCCTCTCGACCAGCTCGAGCGATGCTTCCGACTCTGCCGACTCTGAACCGCCCGGCCGCCAGGACACAACGTAGCGGGGCCGCAGAAGGACAGGGGGCCGGAACGTGGCGAAGTCTGCATCCCAGTCTTTCAGAGGATCTCCCAGCAGACCCCGAAGGTGTTGGACATCGGCAGCATAGAAGCGGCGCAGCTCCTGCACTGCATAAGACAGATCCTTCAACCTCCACCCGTCGTTCGATCACACCAGAACAAAACTACAAGACCCCCTCCCATGCCATCGCTCCTCCCTCAGCGACGCAGACAGCACCTCCGAGTACTCATAGCGCACATGCTCTTCCATCAGAGCTTCTGCAGGAAACCAGACGCTCTCCAGGCCCAAGAAGGCTCGGACGCGTCGAAGCTCTCTCTCCGGCTGCTTGCGAAAGCGCTCTGCGATGATCACCAGCACCTGGTCTGCAGGGAAAAAATGCAAGAGCCGCTCCATCTGCTCTGCATAGAGGCCCCGGCGGAAGGCGTCCGAGCGGCTTGGAGGGGAGCCGTAGCTTGCCATCTCCTTTTGATAGCGCTCCGACAAGCTGCCGACTGGGCGGTTCTTGTCGTGGTCATGGTTCTGGTGGCTCACTGCGCGAGCGATGGGGTTCCGCAACAAAACAACAAGCTGTGCTTGCGGGAGCTGGTCTGCAAGGCGCTCGATGGCTGCAGGGATGTAGAAATAGCTCGGGGTCACATCTCCGATCATCGAACAGTCTTCAAACCAGGAGGCGTAGTATGCAGGACCACGGGCCCATTCCTCGTCCTCATCGAAGAAATGAAGCTCCTGAGAGGGCAGGGACAGGTCGTCCCCGTTTGCCATCCACTGCAGCTGCGCTCGCAACGAGCAGGTTCCCGATTTCATCGCACCGGGCACGACCAATACACGGCGACTGGCGAGCCATCGGCTGGCCATTGCATCTGAGAGGTATGGCATTAATTGCCACAACTTGACCACAAGAAGATTGAATTAGTCGCTGTGACGGAGGCTTTATTTCACAATTCGACGAGGGGACATGTCTCCACAACCTAGACGATCATAGCCAGCTACGCCGTCCTTCCGCTGATGATGGACAGGAGCTCAGTCCGGTTGCATTGCTGAGGGCCGTGATATCCCAGGTTGGACGGCAACCCGGTGACAAAGTACAAACTTGTTGTTGTGTGCGCTCAGGTTCCGGTTGCTTGTTGAAGAGTGTCAACCTTCAACCTCCCACACGCCACACCTCGAGCATCAAGGTCGTCCAGCACGAGGCCAGTTTCGCGCGTGGCCTTCCCCCAGAAGCCATGACTGACCGACCCAGGACAGCTTCGGTCATCTCATCATACAACTAGCACAAGAAATCTACCTCCAATATCGAAACATCATCCGTGTAACAGCACTACGCAATGATGCTTCTTTCTGGAAAGATCAGGCCAGAGTAAAAGTCGCAACCAGTCCAACAAGGCCTTGTATGGTGCAGAGAACTAGCAACTAACTGGCAGCAACGCTGACGTCGATGGTGATGGCGCCATGCTTATTCTGATGCTGGCTCTGACGATTGTGGTGCTGGTGGTGATAGTGATACTGACTCTGACTTGATGAAAGCGACTATGTCGAACAACCAGAATTGTGACAGAAGCAGCCAATGGAAATTAAAGCATTGCATCAAAAGGCGCTACAGACTTCAGAAAACGTCACTTCAATGTGTGCTTGCAGCATCCTAGAATAGCATTGACATAGAAACAGGTGCCCGACTAGCACACCCAGTGATATGCAAACAATTAATAGAAGACTGCTGTGATAGTGGTAGCAGGCATGTTTGCACTACTAGTCGATACACGATACTAGTACGTAGCGAGGAACGCAGGCACAAGCTCATCATGATATGAATGAGTATGAAGTGGCACTACTCAAGCTGCAATAATGCTTCTTAGGCTTGACGAAGCACCCAGTACAACTTGCCTCGATGGTGACAGTGAAGCTCCGGCCCGGTCCAGAAATCGGAGCTTTCTTGGGAGCCTGCTGTCAGCGCACGTGTCGTCGCAATGAAGTAGAAGGCGGAATCAAACTTACAGCAAACATTGTCTCTAAAGTGTCGAAGGTGGCTTCTAAGCTAGCATGAACCATGACAGAATGCTAAACGCACAGTCTAGTCGTGTGTACCCTGCACACATGTGGATCTCGTTTCTTTGTCACATAAACGCTTGGAGCTCTACATGCCCACGACATGATCTAGTGCTTGCTTCTATGGGCATCCTTGCACCTTTACAGCCAGACTTCCCTCACGCACCACACACACAGAGTATTGCCGTCTTAACCATGCAAGTCAAACCATGCACTACTCACATATGTAAACATATACATACCCATATACGTATATACACACAGAAAATGTCTCACAAGATCTATATATATATATGTATCATAACAAAGAAAGCAAAATAGAACATACATAAAAGCAAAGCTTTGTTGTCATTCATTCTACAACTCGCTGAAAATACGAAAGTATGATGCTGAAACATCTATCATGCAAGCATATTTGTATGTATGAATGCATGCATGCATGCATGCATGCATGGATGTATGTATGTATTTGTGTATGTATGCATGCATGCATGCATGCATGCATGTACCTATGTATAGGTATGGTATAAGTCTACATATATACTTATACCTCTAAGCATGTAAATACAACTTCATGTACAGTTAACATTTCGCTAGCTCTCATTCAATAGCATTCTGCTCGTGCATCCGGATGTGAGCAGCCTTGTATCTTTAAAGGTTTGTTCGTGCTGCACGCTCCTGACAGAAGTTTTGGCATGAGGATTGTCGAGTGAAATCCAATGTTACAGTTTCGGCACCTGCTTTCAAATACTTGTGTATATCAGTTGTTCCCCAAACAGGAACTGTTGGGGTCCTCTCCTCAGAAGAAAAGGGAACGTGCCTAGCGGGCTGGGTGCTCGCGGGTTTGGATGGGTGGCACGCGGCTCTGAAGCTGGGGGCCTGCGGGTGGCACGCAGCCCTGGAGCTGCAGGGCCGCGGGCTTGGATGGGTGGAACGCAGCTCTGAAGTTGGGGGGGCTGGGGGCCTGCTGGTTTGCATGGACTGGGGCCCTCGCGCTTGTGGGTGGAACGTGGCTCTGGAGCTGGGGCCCCGCGGGTTTGGATAGGTGGAAAGCGGCTCTGGCCGACCAAGCCTAAACGCATTTTCCAAGGCTGCTACACGCAATTGGCCTTGATTTTACCCCATATCTAGAGCTCAACGCCGTCCCTGAACCCGAAAAGGTGATAGTGAGATGCTCTAGTTTCGGACTTGTCTGGAAGCAGTGCCTGTCTCGAGCGAGTGTGCGAGACTAAACTCAAAAATCGAGGCGGAAATGCTTTAATACATATTTATATCTAAACAGGATACACCCCCATACAGAACAAATCCCGAAAAACATGTATGCATAAAAAATATTTGGTATGCTACTATTTCCTGTTTCAAGCAAGCAGTGTTCTCAATCCTCAAATTGTGTAAACCAGCTTCCTTCGATACAGATCAACCAGCAGAGACAGGCAGAACGGCTTTAACGGCGATGACGATGGAGACGGTGCATGACCACGATGACCGGCACAAGCATGCATAGCACTGTGCAAATTACTGTATGCATAATGTCGTCTGTTTTTTAGTACATCGTTGCAATTTCTACTTGTACATACACAACACGTCCACAAAACATATCCTTGCTTACACGTACCTAAATCTCATGTCCAAGAGTGGCTTCGATCCATGTATGGTGTGCAGCATGCTACATATATAAATAAATGTTTACATGGATATGCATATATCAACCTCCTTATCTATCTATCTATCCATCTATCTATCTGACTATCTTCTATCTTATATGCATATACAACTATCTACATCTATGTTGGTCTGTATCCATCTGAGTGTATCTATCTATCCACCTACCTACCCACCCACCTACCTACCTCGGCGCATCTGCATGCCTAGCATTCAGGCCTGCAAGGCGCTCGTCTTCACTAACTCGCCCGGCTCCGAGCCACCCAAGACTGACACGACGGGAGCCTCCTCGACCACCTCCTTCAGAGCAGCGATGGATGGCTTAACACCAGGGCTGGGGATACCAACCGACTCCTCCTCCTCTGTCCCGCAGCAGCAGATCATGGCACTGGCAGAGGCCTACTCTCCCAATGAAGCGAGTAGAGAGAACCAGGCAAGGCAGCTGGCTTGGGGAGCCCCGTTTCTGTGGGATGATACTCTCTGGAGAAGAACATGAAATCTGCCTGACTGCACCGCAAAGGGCTCATTCTAGCTATGTTTCGGTTAGAGCACGAGCAACCTCGCTATGGTGGAAACACGATGCAGCATGATCTTCATGGGCGCATTGGCAGCCTTGGGTGCTGCTCAACTCCACTGTATCACACCATTTGGCTGCGTGCTGTGTCAACTGGCTTTCTCATCTCTAACCCGCATCCTCCGACTCAGGAAGTGCCACGAAACACGGTCATCAGCGGCAGATGTGGCAATGGAAGACTGCCATTAAGCGAAAGTGCAGCTTGGCGACTTGGTCGCAGCTCTCTTTGTACATCTGAAATCACTACTACTAGGATTAACGGCAGAACCGATGGTGTCTCTGCCATGGTTTGGTTTGCAGAACCGACAGCATATGCCACTCAGCTGCAACATGCAACTTGCGGTTACCGCTCTTGCATGCACAACTTGAATAAATGCTTCTGCACTGCAAGAAAACACAAAACATTCCTGGCCACATTTTCACGGATCATACCGAAGCACTCCCAGAAACGAAAATCTGCGACGCAACTTCCAACGGTCTCAATGGAGATCAATACCGCAGCGCTGATATCTCCAAGTTCGCTTCCTGGAGTTCTTGCCATCAATCCCCGTCGACGATCGGGAACACTCAGCGATCCCCGCACAACACCCTCCAGCAGAAAGCGTACTTGCGAATTGTTCGCCAGAGATACCCCAAACCCGAATGCAGTCCTTCTTCACTGCCTCGACCAGATCGGCACCTTCCAACTCGGAAGCGGGTCAACGACGTTCATGGTTGGCATACAGTTGGCAGCCCGTGGAACCGGACATGCCCATCTGTCCAAGGTCATGCTGGATGATTGAGCTTCGCGATGTCGCTGCCCCGTACAGTTGACGCACTCTCGCGTCTCTAGTTACTCTAGCTGATCGATTTACATGCTACAGAGAAGCCACGCCCTTGAATGGATGGCTCAGGCCTAAAGTGCCCAAAGAAGGAGGAGTAGGGCGCATTTCTGCAGGCAGAATAGGGAGAATGAACACGCCAAGGAAACTCCCCTCTCAGCCCTTCAGGGCTTGCCTTTGAGGTGAGTGCCGTTGATGGCCACGAACCGATCACCAGGAAGGGCTCGCGAGGCCTGGAATTGGACATAATCGGACTCTGCAGTATCAGGGCTCGCAGAGAGATCTGACGCGCAGCACCCCACAGTACCCTGTTCACTCCTCAGGCAGGGAATCCAGGAACCTGTCGAACTGTCCTCAGATTTGAAGGCTGCCAAATGCTGCCA